GGATATGAGAATATAATGCAATTTATGCATTTCAACAACAATACACTCTGTCATCCTCGGGGTGACCCTGAATTTGACCTGCTCCACAAAATTCAGCCCCTTGTAAATCATCTTAACCTCAAATTTACAGAGGTGTATACTCCCCAGCAAACCATCTGCGTTGATGAGTCCCTCATTAGTTTTTCTGGCCGCCTTGCATTCAAACAATTTATCCCAAGCAAGTGTGCCAAGATATGGGGTCAAAATTATAAGACCTGTTTAAGGGCAACAGACTATACATGTAATTTTTGGATTTATGAGGGAAAAGATAGTCATGTAGAGTCACCCAGATGCCCAAACTACATGGCGAGTAGTGGCAAGATAGTTTGGGACTTGGTGTCACTCTTTTTTTCATATGGGGTACCATTTATACGTGGACAATTTTTATTCAAGCGTGCAACTATTTAGACATTTATACAATTTTGGAATTGACACATGTGGCACCGTGCAACCTAATCGCAGGGGCCTCCCCCAAAGGCTTGTAAATACCCATCTTAGAAAGGGGGGGGGGGGAAAGTCTGTTTGAGAAATGATGAATTGCTCACAGTGAAGTGGAAGATGGGATGTTTTCGCCCTGTCTTCCATTCATGCAGACACGACAATCCAAATTTCCACGGCAGCTGGTGTTGTTGAGAAGCCCCTCTGTGTCCACGACTATAACCTTTACATGGGAGGGGTGGACTTAAAAAAAAAACAGATGATGAAGCTGTACTTAGTTTCCCAAATAGCCAGAAGCGATACCAAAAAAGTGTCTGTTTATTTATTTCAATTGGCTCTATATAACGCTTTTGTGCTTTACAAAGCAACTGGACAAAGTGGATCCTTTCTAAAATTCCAGGAAGAGATCATCTCGGCCCTTTTGTATGCAGAAGGAGCTGTGGCCCAAACCCCAAACACAGATGCAGTGAGCCGGCTACATGAGACGCATTTTCCTGATGCTATTCCTGGTAGCCCAAACCAAAAGGAACCCCAAAAAAGATGTTGTGTCTGAAGCAGACACGGAATTAGATCTGACAAACGCTTTTTTTTGTCCCTCCTGTCCTGGCCAACCTGGTCTCTGCCTCAATGACTGCTTCCGTCACTACCATACACTAGTTGACTATTAGTATAGGGTATAGCACGACACAGTTCAGGGCACATATTCACCATTCTCCATTCTCAAACAGGGTCTCGAAAGATGTTAGATAGTCAGGAAAATTTTGAGAGACCCTAGCATCTGGTTAAAAGTTAAAAAAAAAGTTAGAAAAAAAGCATAAAAAATAAAAAAAATTTAAAAGTAATAGTTGTCCTTTTACTGTTGTCGAGTTACTGCTTTACTGTTACTGTTTCACTGTTACAGTTTTATTGTTACCGGTTTATTGTTAACCATTGCTGTTTTCTTTGCAGGAATGCCATTCAGCTGCAGCACCAATCAAAATATACATAAGTAAGTGTGTGCAGCGCTGTTGGATGAGAATTTTCATCCGCAGTTAAAAAAGAATATATGCCCAAGCTTGGGGTGGCCAGTGGGTGGGTGGCGCCTATGCTTCAACGTATATATTTTATAAAATATTTTGGCACATACTTCAATAAAAAAAGTTGTTTTATTGAATTACGGTTTTATTTTTAACCATTGCTGTTTTCTTTGCATTCAGCTGTAGCACCGAAATGTTTATTCTGGCAGCAACAGGGTCTTGCTCTCAGAATTTACAAAAGTGTGTGCAGCGATGTTGGATGAGATTTTTCATCCACAGTTAAAAAAAAGCATATATGCCCAAACAGGGGGGCCTGGGGTGGCCAGTAGGTGGATAGCCACAATACTTTGGCATATATTTAAAAAAAAATAATTCAGGCAGAGATTTCTTCATCCACATTGTTTGATGTGAATAGAGGAATCTGTTTGGTTCAGGCTGAACGGAAAAAAAAAAAAAACTTTTCATGCGTGCCCACCATTAGAAGTGGGTGGATGCAGGGTGGTATATTCTAATGGTGGGCATACCACACACTTTTTCTGGCAGAGATTTCTTTTCTTTCCATTCAGCTCACTGACTGCATAAAAAAAAAAAAAAAAGAACAAAACATATATACCCAACAAGGACCAGCATCATACTGGTACATCACTGGAATTTGAGTGGTTATACAAGCATGATGCTACTTAACTGCGGGATTGCTTTTACAAGCAGCGGGAGAAGATGCCAAAGATGTCACCCCCCCCAATCATCTCTATAGTCTAAGAAATTGGAAGCTACGAGCATTTCATCACTTCAGTTTCGCAGGATATAAACAGCGCCATTTGTAAATTGGGAAAGCATCTGATCACATCGATCTTGGTGAGATCAGATGATGTAAGGGCAGAGGAGATATCTAGAGTCTAATGGACCCCAGATTTCTTAGAAAAGAATAGCTGTCACTGCCTATTGAAGTCACAGGGGATATTTATATTCCCTGTGATAACAATAAAAGTGATAAAAAAAAATGAAAAGGTACAGTGTAAAAATAATAATAATTAAAAAAAAAAAAAAAGCACACCCTCGCCCCGCTTCGCATGAAACTGTGTGCGCAACTGTTGACCCCATGACGGTATGTAAACAGCGGTTGCACCATGCATGTGAGGTATTGCCGCAAACCTCACATCGAGGGTAGTAATTATAGCACTAGATCTCCTGTGTAAATCTAAAATTGTAGCCTGTAAAGGCTTTTAAAGCGTCGCCTATGGATATTAAAAACGTATGCAGTTTGTCGCCACTGCATGGAGCGTGCGCAGTTTTAAAGCATGTCATGTTTGGTATCTATTTTCTCGACATACCATCATCTTTTATGTTCTACCAAACAAATGGCCAATACATTGTGTTTTTGTGCATTAAAAGTAAAAAAAAAGTGTATTTTTTTAAAAAAATGTGCGTTTTAAAAATTGCTGTACGAGTAGTATGTGACATAAAAAATTGCAGCACCGACCATTTTATTCACTAGGCTGTCTGCTTTAAAAAATATATAATGTTTGGGGGTTCAAAGTAGTTTCCTAGCAAAAAATACAGATTTTTTTCATGTGAATTCTCACACAAGTGGAATCCCCATACTCAGGAGAAGTAGCATAATATATTTCGGGGTGTAATTCCAAAATATACCCATGGCATGTGTGAGCAATATACCATTTGAATGACAACTTTCTGCAAAAAAAAAAATTGTAATTTTCCAAAAACTTGTTGAGAAAAAATAAATCTTCCATGGACTCAACGTGCCTCTCAGCATATAGCTTAGGGTGTCTAGATTCTGAAAAAAGGTAATTTGAGGGTGTTTGTACTGCCCTGGCATTTTAGCACCTCAGGAAATGTGATTGGCAGTCACAAAGTAAAAGCTGTGTAAATTCCAGTATCTATACCATGGGTGTCAACTGGCAGCCCTCCAGCTGTTGCCAAACTACAAATCCCATGAGGCATTGTAAGGCTGACAGTTACCAGCATGACTCCCAAAAGCAGAGGCATGATGAGACTTGTAATTTTGTAACAGCTGGAGGGCCGCCAGTTTGACACCCCTAAACTATGCCATAGTTTGTAGACGCTATAACTTTCACACAAACAAATTAATATGCAGTTATTGGGATTTTTTACCAGAGACATGTAGCAAAAAACATTTTGGCCTAAATTTATGACGAAATTTGAGTTTATTGGAAATTTTGTTATGACATAAATGAGAAAATAACGTCTTTTTTTCAAAATTGTGGAGCTTTTTGGATTTTTCATAGCGCAAAAAAAACCCAGAGGTGATCAAATACACCAAAAGAAAGCTCTATTTGTGTGAAAAAAAATAACATAAGTTTAATTTATGGATAGTATTGTATGACCACACAATTGTCAGTTAAACTAGTGCAGAGCCGTATACCAAAAATGGTGTAAATTCCAATATCTATGCCATAGTTTGTAGATGCTGTAACTTTCATACAAAGCAATTAATATACACTTATTGAGATTTTTTTTTTTTTTACCAAAGACATGTAGCATAATACATTTTAGCTAAAATTTATGACTAACTTTGAGTTTACTATATATTTTTTTTATAACTGAAAGTAAAATATATTTTTTTTCAAAATTTTTGGTCTTTTTTTGTTTATAGCGCAAAAAAATAAACCCAGCAGTGATCAAATACCACCAAAAGAAAGCTCTATTTATGTGAAAAAAAAGGATATAAATTTTGTTTGGGTACAGCACTGCATGACCGCGCAATTACCAGCTGAAATAGCATAGTGCCATAACGCAAAAAAAGGCCTGGTCAGGAAGGGGGGGGGGGGTAAATCCTCTGTAGGGCAAGTGGTTAAGTTGGACCACCCTTTGCAGCTTTAACAGCTTCACCTCTTCTGGGAAAGCTGTCCAGAAGGTTTAGGAGTGTGTCTATGGGAATGTTTGACCATTTTTCTCAGAAGCGCTTTTGTGAGGTCAAGCACTGATGTCGGAGAAGAAGGCCAGGCTCGCAGTCTCCACTCTAATTCATCCAAATGGTGTTCTGTCGGTTTTAGGTCAAGACTTTGTGCAGGCCAGTCAAGTTCCTCCACCCCAGACTCGCCATCCCCAAACTGTTCCCACAAAGTTGAGAGCATGAAATTGTCCAAAATGTCTTGGTATTCTGATGCCTGGAACTAAGGGGCCAAGCCCAACCCCTGAAAAACAACCCCATACCATAATCCCCTCTCCATCAAAGTTTACACTTGACACAATGCAGTCAGGCAAGTACCGTATTCTTGGCAACCATCAAACCCAGACATGTGCATTGGATTGCTAGACAGAGAAGTCTGTTCAAGAGAACACATCTCCACTGCTCTAGAGTCCAGTGGCATCGTGCTTTACACCACTGCATCCAACACTTTGCATTGCACTTGGTGATGTAAGGCTTGGATGCAGCTGCTCTGCCATGGAAACCCATTCCATGAAGCTCTCTATGCACTATTGTTGTGCTAATCTGAAGGCCAAATTAAGTTTGGAGGTCTTTAACTATTGACTCTGCAGAAAGTTGGTGACTTCTGCACACTATGCTCTTCAGCATGCACTGTCATTTTATGTGGCCTACCACTTTGTGGCTGATTTGCTGTTGTGCCCAGTTGCTTCCACTTTGTTATAATACCACTAACAGTTGACCGTGGAATATTTAGTAGCAAGGAAATTTCACTATGGACTTATTGCATAGGTGGCAACCTATCACGGTACGACACTTGAATTTACTGAGCTCCTGAGAGTGACCCATTCTTTCACAAATGTTTGTAGAAGCAGTCTGCATGCCTAGGTGCTTGATTTTATACACATGTGGCCATGGAGGTGATTTGAACACCTGAATCCAATCATTTGGAGGGGTGTCCCATTACTTTTGGCAGTATAGTGTATGTCAATACATCTCTAGATCCTGATATCTTTTAAAGCTGAATTCCAGCTGTGGAATTTTTGCCCAGTTACATTGGTCCAGCTTGGACCAATGTACTGTAAGTATGCATATGCCATACATGTGGGATCTCTGTGGAAGTGGGGACTTACTGTAGTATTCACCACTAATAGAAGAACCAGGGAAAGTAAAATATGATCAGAATGAATAGCTTTATTATGTAATCATTTTGGAACTGACTGTAAACAATGCACATTTCTTAAACCTAATTACTTCGGATAAACTCCTTTTAATACAGCAGTACAACATGTAAAACAGTGTTTTTAATTTACTGTAATATCCTTTTCTTGGAGTTCATTAAAGTGGTACTAAACCTGGCGTCGCTGTTGAGCAGGCGAGCATGATGGCCGCTCTTTAACCTCCAGGCACACCTTCACCTCTACACTGGCCAAAGACGAGCCTGCCCACTGGCTTCCCCTCCTCATCTCCCCTAGAACCCCCTGGAATTTGCTGGACCGAGTGGAGACGGCGGAGCTACCCGCTTCAATCCCCGAGGGAGAGCTGCTCCGGTCCCAAAAGGAAGCGGCGGCCACCATCTTTCCACGGCCGGCACCCGCCACATTAGCCCAGAGTTCGGCTACATAAATCAGCCCTGGCACTCTGCCACACTGGACTCGGGGCCCCTGCGGCCTCTCACCACTGTCGGATGGCTCCCTGCGGACGGCCCTGGTCCCACACTCCAGGCGAGAGCCCCTACTCCAGTCCTAGGCCTCCCAACTCCTAGAGGCCTGGTTGGCCACGTGACAATCACGGCCTGAAAGAGAAGGCCACGACCTTCAAGCAGGATCCCGCCACAGTCGGAGAAGGAGGTAGGGATACACAGTCCCTTTTGGACCCCCAATTAGCCCCAGTCTCCATTACTGGGCCACCGCAGCGACCCTGACTGCTTTCTGGACCCCTGCAGCGCCACCATTAGCGGGCAGTGCACCTTTCACCCCTTCCTCCCTTCTATTATACACCAACCGCACATCTGGTGGCCCAAAACTCTGTGCCCACTAAAGGCCCTTTCAAGAACGTAAAGTTTTAGGACCTTGGAGAGGCAATACTGAGTAGCCGCTTACGCCGTCCCACGTTAGCCACTGGGAGGTGGCTCCATTACGGAGACCATGGGGAAGAACTTCCTAGCTACCCCAGCCAAGGCAACCAAACTTACAATTGCTTCCACTTAGGCTTACCTCGCTCCAAAATGGCCTTGCCGCAACCTTTGCCTGAATACCCGTGTCTTTCCCAAGAGACTGGCTTTCTATTAGATGATTCTAACGACGGACTCTCAACGGTACAGAAAGAAGAACCTATGGACGCAGTGCTCCGTGACTTAGTCCTACTTGAAAAATTCAAACTCCTTCTTCAAAAGGAACTGAATACAGCCACGGAACAACTTACCACTAAGATTACATTTGAAATCAGAGACATAGGTTCCCGAATTCACGACCTCGAAAACAAAATTGATGATGCCATTCTAGTAATTGATAACCATGAACAAGATATCGATACAATGAAACTAGACCTCTCCTCTGCTTTGCAAAAACTTGAAGATTTAGAGAACCGTAACAGGAGAGGTAGTTTTCGAATCAGAGGCCTTCCAGAATCTATAAAGGACTTCAATTCGACAGTCACAGCGCTGCTGCAGGAACTTATCCCTGGTACCTCAATTGAATGACTAGAATTCGACAGAATCCACAGAGCTCTGGGTCCTCCCTGGGATATCATTATCAAACCTACCTTCTACAAAACTAAAGTGGCTGTTATGCAAGCAGCCTGGTCTAAGAGGGACTTGAGCTTCCAATCCTACAAATACCAAAAATTTTCTGACATCGGTCCGCAAACACTTCAGAGGCACAGAGAACTGAAGCCTTTTGTCCAGGTACTACAAAACCAAATGCATAAAATACCATTGGAGCTTCCTATTCAAATTCATCTTCTCCTTTCAAAGTCACCCCCATACCTTCTCCTCGCCAGACGAAGCCCAGGAAGTTCTTACCAGATTACAACTCATGCTTCCCTCCGCTACTGGCTCACAAGCCTCACCCCGCAAATTTCCTCTCCTTACTCCTCTCTGGGAACCACTTCCTCACAAACGATGACCAGCACCTAGGCAGTCCAAGCAGGCTCCCTGACCAGAGATCCTGGAAGAGGACTGATACCAGACGATACTCCCTTCTTGGAGCACCTCAAGTTCGAATGGTTTCACCCGACTTGGAACCGATACACCCTTTCACGGAATGTTTTAAACTGAACTCCAACGTACTAACTTTTAAGTTTGCCTTTCAAGTTCTTCTGTTCCTTCCTTCTGGTTGAGATTGGGGGCTCGTTGCCATGACCCTGAGCTGGATGCGGCCTATACAGCCTTGTGCTCAAAAGGAGTGCTGTGGGCAGTGGGACCCCATCGCATCTCCTACCTCATACCTTCTATTTCCAACTGCCCTAGTCTAATGGTCTCTGAACCACTCCGGACAGTCGTGGCTTTACCTGGTCTGGGCCCTGCAACGGGTGACCCCCCCACTTCTCTGCGGCAATGATATTTCATTATATCGCTCCCTCTGCCCCCTTTTCCTCCCCCTTTTTTTTCCTCTCTCTCTCTCCTTTCTTTTCAATGTCTGGTACCTGAACGCTTTTATTTACTGGGGGGGAGTAAAAGCTGTCTGATTATATAATACAATGTGTGCCTGGAGGGTTTCCAGTGACCCCCTAACCATGGCAGTTGGTGTAACCGCTGCCCTCGATTGTATAGGCAGTCCTCTGTTTGGCACCCCTGTGGTCAAGCTTTCTACGCCTTATCTCACTATTATCCATTTCCTAACTTCCTTTTTTCTTTTTATTTCTCAGGACATTGAAACTCCTGTACTTATTACATTTGACATAAGACGGCTTATTGCTGGATACCTTAGCTCTTTTCCTTTTCACCCACCAGGCCTTCCTTCCCAATGTTCACAATGTTAAGATATTGTCCACCCCATGGTCTGACCATTCACCTCTCTTACTCACCTGTAGAACGCTGGCCTCCACTCCTCAACACTACTCTTGGTGTCTTAACGACTCCAGATTGTCCTTCAATGTGGTACAGGGGACCATTAAACACTATCTCCAACTACTTTAAAGATAAACTCACATCAGCTTCAACTCCTACAATTCTATGGGAAGCCCACAAAGCACCACTCAGAGGGAAACTAATACAAATCGCCTCGCGCAGAAAGAAAGAAAGGGAATATAGAGTATAATTTCTATCCTCTCGCTTAACACAACTAGAAGCCCAATTTAAACAAGCCCACACTACTCCTATGCGTAAGCAACTAGAAGCTACTAAAGTTGAACTTAATTTTCTTCTCTCGACGATAAAGCCGAAAAACAACTCAGATGGTCAAAACACAAATATTACACTTGCACTAACAAACCAGGACCAATGCTGGCTAATCTTCTTAACGCTCACACCCATAACACCCAGATTATGCTTTTTTAACAAAATCACCACAGCTAATCCCTCCAAAATCGTGGACACTTTTGCCACCGTCCTGTCCAAGTTATACCAGTCCCCGCAGCCTCTACACAGGGAGTTGGCAGATGATCTCTTTCGGGATGATCTCTTCCGGGATGTTCATCTCACCAAATTATCCACCTCCATGGTAGATACACTGAAAGCTGATATCATCGTCCCAGAGGTCCTCAAGGCAATAAAAATGCTTAAAACGCAAAGAACTCCTGGACCTGACGGCTTTTCTGTGCTTTACTATAAAAAATTTGCTGATTCTCTGGCCCCCCACTTAACCAAATTTTTAACCATCTACGCTCTCATTCAGACCTTCATTCATCATCCACAGCAGCTCAAATATAATGATGCTTCCGAAACCTGGAAAAGACCCTCATGATCCCCATAACTTTAGACCAATTTTGTTATTAAATATTGACATCAAGATTTTAGAGAAAATACTCGCTACCCGAATTCACTCCTTCTTGCATCATCTCATTCACAAAGATCCGACAGGCTTCAGATAACACCCATAAAGATATCCACTTAATCCATTTGTTACAACAATAAAAATCTGCTGGCATGATTCTGAGCCTAGACATACACAAAGCATTTGACTCCCTTTCTTGGGAATATATGTACTATGCCTTAGAAAAATGGGGCTTCCTGCCTATTTTTAAATCCTGGGTGCAGGCTCTCTATCGTGGACCCTCTGCCACAGTTTGTTACCTCTCCAGACAATCCTCCTTCTTTCCCAGCCAAAGTGGAACATGCCAGGGATGCCCTCTGCCCCCAATACTTTTTGTTTTAGCCCTGGAACCCTTGTTTTGTCCTATCAGAACCAACCTGAATGTCAAAGGAGTCACATTTGCCCATCAATCTTTTAAAGTTAGTGCATTTGCAGATGATCTAATTTTGATGCTGCCCAACCGCACACCTCCCTACCCACATTTTTTTCCATTCTAACCAAATAGTAAATGAAGGCAAATCTTCAGCACTTAATGTTTCCCTCCCGCAGCAGATGTGAACCTGCTGAAACAAAATTACAATTTTGCCTAGCCCCTTAAACATCTGGAATACTTGGGGATTAATCTCACAAACTCGTATCATACTCTCTACGAGGCCAATTATACTCCAATTTTCCATTCCCTGAAAACTCTACTTGCAACCTGGTCACATCAATCCCTTTTGTGGATGGGTAGAATGAATGCAGTGAAAATGACTATCCTTCCCAAACTACTATATTTATTCCACACTCTTCCTGTCCCAGTTCCCTCTTATGCCCTGAAAGCCTTTCAAAACCACGTCTTACGTTTTATATGGGCCAATAAAAGACCTCGGGTCACTAAAAGTACTATGCTCACTCATCAAAAACAGGGAGGCCTGGGAGTTCCTAACTTCTCTAAGTACTACGTGGCGGCTCAAATCACACCTTTATCCTCATTGTATGCAGCACAATTAGCCCCTGTATGGGTTACTTTGGA